AAAACCCCCTCCCGACCCCCCCCGGTTCTCCCTCTTCGCTGCCCTCGGCCCGGACGCACCCGAAGAGGCCCCCGAGGAAGGAGGAGGCCCCCCGGACCTTCCTCTCGGCCTCGCTCAGGAGCCGCTTCGCCTCCTCCTCCTTCTCCTTCCCCAGCGCCGCCGCCATGTTGGGAACCCCCCCGTCCCCACGTGACCCCCCGCGCCGCGCCCCCATTGGCTGCTTTTCCCCCTCACGTGATCCCCCGAGCCGCGCCGCCATTGGCTGCTCCCGCCATCACGTGATCCCTTCACGTGACGCGGAGCGCCCCCTCCCGGGGCTCGGCTGCTCCCGCGAGGCGCCGCCTGGCGGGCCGGAGGACCGGGGTGGGAAATTGGGGATTTAGGGGGGATTTGGGGGTTTTTGGGTGATTTTTAAGGAGTTTTTGGGGCTTGGGGAGATTCTTAGGAAGTTTCGTTCATTTCTTTGGGCGTTTTGGGCAGTTTTAGGGGATGATTAGGAGTTTTTGGGGGGTTCGGGGGTGGTTTTGAGGAATTTCGGGGCAGTTTTGGGGTTGTTTCTTTAGGATTTTTGGGGGCGATTTTTCGGGGATTTTTATGAGGTCGGGGGACGATTCTGAGGAATTTGGGGCGTTTCTTCAGGGATTCGGGGCCGTTCGGGGCCGATTTTTAGGAGTTTGGGGCGGTGTGGGTGTGGCCTATGCAAATCGGAGGGCTGGGATTGGCGGAGCGGGTCCGTGGGGCGGAGCGTATGTAAATGAACAAAGGGGGAGTGTCCATCGTATGTTAATCGAGGGGCGTGGCGATTTAAACCAGCTTTCATGAGCTAATCTATATTTGGGCGTGGTTTATGCAAATTAGACCTTTAGGGGACGTCCGGTCTCACTTTTAAGCGTGGCTTATGCAAATGAGCGTCTTGAGGGGTCTAAGTAGTCTCACCGCCTAATGGGCGTGGTTTAAGTTAATATATCGCATCGGGGGCGTGGCTTATGCAAATAAACAGCCTTCTGGGCGTGGCTTATGTTAATACTAAGCGCTGTGGGCGTGGTTATGCAAATAATCAAGAAAGGGGGCGTGTTTCATGCTAATACATCATTTACTGGGCGTGGCTTATGCTAAAACGTAGTTTTGTGGGCGTGGTTATGCAAATCTACGCTAGGACGGGGGCGTGTCTATGCAAATTAACCTCTCCGCCCTTCCGCGGGGGGCTTTCCTGAGGCGGCTTCGGGAGGGGGGCGTGTCTATTCTAATGCCTGTCCGCGAGGGGCGCGGCTTCACTTAATTAATCCCTGCCCACCCTTCCACGAGGGGGTCCCCCCCTCCCTCGGGGGGGTCCCCGCGATCCTTTTTACCCCTTTTTTTGTGGCGTTTTGAGGCGTTTTGGGTTTTTTTTTCGGTGCGGTTCCGCGATCAGGCAGCGCCGCGAACCCCTAAGCGACGAGGCCCGGCGGGGTCCTCGGGGCGGTGCCTGGGCGTGGTTATGCAAATCCACGCCAGCGCGGGGGCGTGTCTATGCAAATCAACCCTGAGGCGGCTTGGGGTGGGCGTGTCTATTCTAATGCCTGTCCGCGAGGGGCGCGGCTTCAATTAATTAATCCCTTCCCACCCTTCCCCGGGGGGGGTCCCCCTTCCCTCGGGGGGGTCCCCGCGATTCGTTTTACCCCTTTTTTTGGTTTATTTTCCCCCGTTTTGGGGTTTTTTTTTGGGTGCGGCTCCGCGATCAGGCAGCGCCGCGAACCCCTAAGCGGCGGGGCCCGCCGGGGTCCTCGGGGCGTCGCCCGTGCGGGGGCGCCTGGGAGACCCCGCGCCGGGCGCCGCTCTCGGGCCCTCACGGTGAGTCCGCCCCCCCCCCCCCCCCCCCCCCCTCAACCGCTTCAAAACAGAGCGAGAAAGGCCCGAAATTGGGGAAAAGGGGGGGCGGGGAGGGGCCTTCGGCCTCGGCGGCCGCTTCCTCATCATCCTCCTGCTCCTCTTCTTCCTCCTCCTCCTCCGGCTCCGCT